CAGCTGATTCGCACGTTCATTGGCTTTCTGGTTTGGTCAAGCTCATCAGGCTATAAGGCGGCTATCCAGACTCGGGTTCACGGTATTAAGGAGGCATTAAGAAAAATGTGGTCCACAACAGGTCTTTAGTTACAAAGTATGGTTAAAAGCGACTCGAGACCACACCCGCATGATCAGCTGCTAGCAGAACAAAACCGACCGGGTGATTTCGAAGAGCTTTCTGCAATCACAGGAGTAGTGTGCCTTGTCAGAAAACTATAGCGCGACTCCATGAGTATTATACTGACTGAAACACGAAGTGGCTACGTGCAGTAGATTAGGTTGAAGAATAATATAAACGAGAGATTCAGCTTGAACTACGTCGTTTCTTCTGGTGCACCAAACAGTTTGCAAGGCCAGATGTGAATTGGCGAAAAACTGTCTACGACCAAAGACTTCCAGTCGATTATGATAGGTAGAAGGAATTCCCATGATAAGGTCCCGCTTATTACATTAGGTGAACAAAATCTAGTCTGGCAAAGTGGACGCGAAATCTGGCGAGCTCAAGATGCCTCTAAAGTGAAACGACGAAATAGTATAGAACGTCTGCCATTACTACTACATTAAGAAGATGATTAAATCAAAATGTGCATGAGGTAAAGATAGACAAGAAATTTTATTTTAAAGTTACAAAACTGATAGGAAGATCAGCAATTCATTAAAATGGTAAACTGAATTTGTGACGTGAAACTCCTTGCGTCGCTGAATACCGTTTAGTATTCTAGCAAGTGACTAAAACTCACTATTCTTGGCTACCGGAGAGGCCCTACTAATCTGACGAAAACTGCCTACCCATTTAATATGTTCAAGGGATTTAGGAGACACCAGGGAATTTTATCGCTGTGAAGGCCCGTCGCCAGTTTCCTCCTCTGTCTTTTTTTAACCCAGACGTAGGTGACCTTTGAGTGGCCCAAATGTGCTTGGTCGTATAAATCACCATACAACCGAGGTCACTCGCTAACTATCACCACCGTTCAACGGATTTTTAGTGGTACATGAGTGTCAACAAAACAGATATCTTTGTTCCTCCTAAGGATACTCAATCTTACCGTGGTGTGATGCTCGGCACATCCTGCCATACACCACTGCTCTGAAGTTAGACTGTCAAACACTCTTAGTATCGCGGTTTTGATGCGGTGAAAGTCCTTCACTTCGTGTATGGCTACATAAAACTCAAGCCGTTGTACTGGCTGTCTCTTGGTTCACCAACGACACGACATGTTTGAGTTACTTGGTAGTTTTACGACACAACTTCAGCTAATCGCTTTAATGAGTTGTCCAGCTTCCTGTCAGTTTTGTAACTTTAAACTAAAACTCTTTGTCTGTCTTGACCACATGCACACTTTGATTTAATCATCTCCGTAATGTAGTAGTAATGACAGAAGACCGAAATTATTTCATCGCTTCAATTTGGAAACAGAATTTCGTGTACACTTTATCAGATTGGATTTTGGTCCGCCTGACCGCGCGAATTCCTCCTAGTTTTTCATAATCGGCTGGAAGTCTTTGATGGTGGGTGGTTTTCCGCTTTCACAAACTTCTCCGTTTGCAAACTGTTTGGTGCACCAGAAGAAACGACGTAGTTCAAGCTGAATCTCTCGTTTATATTCTTCTTCAACCTAATCTACTCTACGTACCCACCTCGTGTTTCAGTCAGTATAATACACGTGATATCGCTCTATAATTTCCTAACAAGGCACACTACTCCTGTGATTGCAGAAAGCCCTTCAACAGACCTCGATCGGCTTTGTTCTTCTAGAAGCTCATCATGCGGGTGTGGCTCCGAGCTTTCTTTAACCATATTTTGTATCTAAACACTTGTTTGTATGCAAGTGGCGAAAAGCACTCACCTGAATCTCTCCTAGCAGTTATTTGCTTATGTAGAGTTTCGTCGAAATTCTCAACCGTATTACTAAATTAGTGTGACAAACTCCTTTAATACAACAGTGTATGGTATCACTCAAAGCATTGTGTTACTAACCATTTTGTGTCATTTGATTTTGTTGGACAAGGGGAAATGTTTTATTTGAGTTTATTCTTGTTGCTACGCCAAGCTAGAGCCATGGATCGGTCGACATTTGATGACTTATTTCGTGAGAGCTTATGATAATATTTGGAGTAGGTAGTAACGAGCAGGGGCTCACATTGTGCCGTGTGTGTGTTTAGTCCGCATCGTTTCGGAACGGGTGAAATACGACTGAAAACTTCAAGACATTGATGGTTTTGACTCGTAGCCATGAAGGGACTTTTAGGGGCAACCAAACTTGAACTTGATCAAATAAAGAGGGACATATCAAGGTGTTATTATCACGGGAAAGTGTCACAAAGTCTTTTCAGCACATGGGACGCGCAGAATGTTTTCGTCCGGCCAGCAGCGTCTCATGGATAGCCAGGCGAATCGATTCCGTGTTATTTCGTAGAATATCATATGACTTTTAATGAGCCAATGGTTCTCAGGTCAAAGGGTCAGCTGGTCGTATAAATGACTTATTGACCATGAAGTAAACTACTCACAAGGTTGCTGAAACTCTTCGACAGCCCACAACCGGTTTCGCTCTTCTTGGGGCTCAAACGAGTGTATTACTCGAAAACAGTCCGATTAGGGTTCAAGTAGAACATAAGGTTGATGGAAACTCAGGGACTGCGCCTACCTGATGAGCCCCAAGAAGGGCGAAACCGGTCGTGGGCTATCGACGAGTTTTCAGCAACCTTGTGAGTAGTTTCCTTTATGAAAATATACTGCGATATCTCGAATATCGTGCCAACTGAATCATGAGGCGGCCTGTGTGCAGCACATTCAATTGTAGAACATCATAAACGAGAGGTTCAGTTTGGTCTCTCGTGAAAACCAAATTGATTTGCAAATGAGTGTGTATTTCTCGACTTATTGACCAATTTGTCGGTTGTAACTGTCCTTTGACTTTTTCAACCGTCTTTTGCTGTATACGTGTTTTGATTTCTTCGTCACTGTGAAGTCACATCAATGGCCAACAGAAAGGTTATTTCGGTTCTTCACTCCGAAGTTTGAGCTCTTCTGTATCGTTCGCCAAACCGAATTTGCGTTCTTGTGACACTTCACGAACTCTTGGCACTAAACTCTCTCAGTCTAACGAAACAGAAAATAATAAAGAAATACACTAATTTGGTTTCGCGAGAGAATCACCTGGATTAGTGCACCATGTAATACATGTATCACGACATCTCGAATATCGTAAGGACTGAAAAATGAGGCGGTCTGGTACAGCACATTCATTTGCTTGGAAACATCATAACGAGAGATNTTCAGCTAGGTTGCGGGTGAGTCTCTCGTAAAACCAAATTTGTTTGCAAATGAGTGTATTTCACTAATTTCGTGCGATTTGGTTTCAAGTGGAATATAAGGTTGACGGGAGCTCACGGACTGCGCCTACTTAGTGATGCTCAAGAAGGTCGAAACCGGTAGTGGGCTCTCGCAGGATTTTCAGCAACCTTATGAGTAGTATATTACTCATATCGTTCTTGTTTGAACAGCTCTCCCCCTCTCCTGTGATAATTGTTCTGGTGAGTCTGTGTGAAGCACTGTTCTTGATTTTCTGTCGTCATTTGTGTAATTAGTTGGCCAGGATATTCACCCGGTAGCCTTTTGATCTCACCACACACACGTTCGTCCGTTCAAATGTGATAACTCAGATAAGTTCACGCTCTCCGTCTTCTAGGGTCATATGTCTGGGGTTCGAAGTCCTCCAGGACCAATGTGTGCATCTCTGATGAAGATTGATACTCAAGCCTATGGCTTCTTCTCTTTGGTGAGCACCCACCTAAATTGTTGCTAAGGGAATGGGTTCGCACGAAATCGGCGTGAATACAAATTCTACAAATCCCGCAATGACAGTAATCTGCTGATAATAGGTTGCTGGTAATATTTTCTTTGAATCCTAGGTTGCTTATGCTCAACTGAAAAAAGACTCTCTGCCTTATAGCCCTGTTGTTTAAACCAGCCGGAGGTCAGGCCGAACTATCGAATGAGTGCCACAGTAGTTCCGCTATGGGCAGAAGCCCGAATACGCTGAGAGGCTTACAATGTTTGACGGTCTGTAAAGCAGAGTGAACTTTATGATTTCCCGATGAAGAACCGGAACCCCGACCCCAATGTTTCCACTTGGGTTGTTTCTGGTGGAAATGCGATCTTCAGAATCAAAAAAAGATATTTTAGGAGCAAACATGGTCATCACATCGGCAAAAACGGCTAAACCTGCTGGGACTCAGTGGAACATCTACCCCTCCCTTATAGAGGCCCGCAAAAATTTGCAGGGCAAACGGTCGACTAAGCCGCATACTTTAACGAGCAATTTACCCTACGAGACAGCGGCTTGGTAACTGAAAGTGTTACTTAAGTACCTGTTATAAACAGACGCCTATTTTCATTAGAAACCTGGCCCTTACATCTGCCATGTTTTCCACAGCTATCTCTCCTGACTATCAACATCAGACTTCTACTGTTATGAAGATACAACCCAGAAGAAGTTTCCTGTCAATTGCGCTATGAAGTGATCTCTGTTTTGAACGGACAAATGAATGGTTATTCCACTCGATAACTCCCTCTTTGTGGATTCATCGTTTGGGGAAGATGTCAACAGAAGGATGAACCGATGCATTCAGCTTTGCGAGGAAACTGCACTGTTTTGGCTCACTTCACCTGAACCCTGCAGGCGCATAAGCTGAAAGTCAGTAGTATGAGCAGATCTTGGAATTTTATTGAAGATATCATCCCGCTGATGAAGCCAACCTACGTTCAAAAGCCGGCTTTACTTACATCATAATTTGACCACCTGTGATTTTTCACATGTGCATAATACAAGAATAAGTATTGTCACTAAAATTAGCTTAGTATGGTCTATTCATAAATAAATAAAAACTGTGCTAGTGACCTCTTGCTCTCAAAAGCTTGTATGAATCCAGCCAGTTAAATGAACCGACATCAACTAAGACGTTCCGTTTGAACCAGTCAAGAGTTAATTAAATTTTAGGGTAAAAAACATCAACAGAAAATCAGTGAGCTCCCAGAATCGATCGATAAAAATGATATTACCCATAAAAAACTAAAATTTACACCCTATACATAACATACCTTTAACAAAATGAGCAAAAGACTCGGTAGTGAACGTGCAGTCGTGCCCTTTAAAGTCGCATGCTGTGTGCATTACCTATATCGATCGGTGGCTAGCCATAAGCTTCGCGACAATTGGCTGGCCAACTGAATGACCCTATTCATGCTATGCATAGAACAGGTCTCGTGATCAATCTCACAAATATCACTGGTTTTTTTTCGGGAATTCCGTATCGACCTAGTTCAACAACAAAATCACGTTGTGGGGGCTGCGAAAATTCCTACCGACACAATTCGTTATAATTTTTTACTGATGGTGACAACTGGGAACAATCTCAAACGCGTTTATCGATTAGGTATAAAATAACCCTTTAACCTGTCAATCACTGTGAGTCAGCCCAGAAACCATGTTCTGGTTTGAAAAAAGAACTTGATTTATGGAACTCACTACTTCTGATTTCTATGTATCTAAAAATAATAAGTATTTATTTGACAAGTAGCGGGACAACTCGTGGCCAGATTATCGATCGCTTATCCCCATAATATCATTTGATCGATCGGTCACTTGAAGGACAAACTCCGTGTTACCTATAGAGCCAGTCACATGATTGATCATCGGAATATACTTAGGATGTGGACATGTTTGAACAAATGCTGTGGTATATTCCGAGTTTGTCACTTTCTAAAACATTCGTATTCCATTGTAATTTCCCTATATCCCCCCATTTTCGAGGACCCGTTGATTAATTATCCTCCCGACTTTAGAATTCTGTAGAATTCCTTGAAAATATTCAGCTATTGTGCGATGCGAAAACAAGACAAGATGTGTAGAACCTAAAAGTTATGGGTGCCTCAAACTGCTGGTTGCATTTGGAGACAATGAGACAAACTGCCGTTATTATTTTCCATAAAATTAGCAGAAAATGCTATTTGTATTAGATACTTGAAAATATGGTTTACTCACGTGTAACAGTGAACAGCTTTTAGTGTTTGACATTACAAACAATTCACGCAGCACTGTGTTTACTTTCTTGTGCTCCGAAGGCGAACTTTACAGGTGTGTATTGATTCGTCGACAACCGTTGGCGAATTATCGATTTGCTAACCGAGTGATTGAGAATGGTCACATGGTGTGTGAAGATCGAGCCATGTGATCAAATGGTGCAATGTCTCTAGTGTGAGTAACTTAACGTTTACTTCATTGATCCACGAAATAGTTTTGCAGCGTCCTTTTATTTTGTTGTTCCATAAAAGCTGGAAGATTATACCATTTGGAATTTCCAATAATCAGCTGACTGTGCAGTAATGTGGTCGTGTTCAATAGGATTAAGTCCCACTAATGTGAACCCAAGTAATAACACCGATAAAAACATTGAAAAGTCAAGGAACTCTGTCTCCACCGGGGGCGAATGTGTTTCAGTTTTGCATAATAATAGTAATAATAATCGAAAGCATAACAGTAATGTTCGACACCGGTACTCAGGTGCAGCACAGACTCGTGATCTTACGCAGACTGGGATAATTCCGGAGCTTCCAGAAGGGCGATCAGGATCCTCCACTAAAGCTTCTGGATCAAACGTTTGACTTCAATGAGGTGACGTTTGGCGGGAAACATAGGGACATTACTATTTTTATAGAACATGTGGCCACACATGTCCCTACCCCTCAACCCGGAGGACCACAAAATAGTGTTGGTTAGATTTCTAATCACTGACTAACCCGGTATGACATACTCTTCGAATTTCCTATTGCCACCCCCCCCCCGCGAGTATAGCTCAATGAGTGACAGAAGCACAATAGCCATGATACCACGGTAAGTTACAGTCTTTTCTTAACGGCAGAGTTCCTCCGCCATCAAAAGCCACTTTTGTGCAATCCGTGAGTAAAGACGGCTGTTGACGAAGAATTTTCCAAGTGAATAATCACAACTGTGTCTCGTTTGTGAGCTTCCCTTGGTTTTCTTAGTATGAAAGAAACAAGTTCGTTCGTATTCTTTTTTAACGAAGCAAGTCTGTTTTGCACCTATACAAGTGACGAGGTAAATTGGAACTACCGCCAAACAGGGTAGACCGATATTCCAGTGCCTGTAAAACGCAGAGGAAAGCGCTGGTGTGATGCCAGTTCACTTACTGACAAAGTGATGAAACTCTCTTGGAACCCTTCGCCTTAACTTGAATGAAACCCTCTTAGGTATTCGACAAATACAATCATTTGCACACTGATTTGGTTTTTACGGAAGATCTTGAAATCCAGCCAAACCTGTCGTTCCTGATGGTGAGCACCAGGGGGGGGGCGAAACCGGTCGTGAGGTGTCGAAGTGTTCAGGCGGTGTTCAAGTGGTTCAGGCACCAGCTTAAGAACCGGAAGGCCCGAAGTTCGAACCCAACCTCAGCATCTCGACTGCCTTCGTCTAGGGTCGAGCATCCTGGTGATATCCCAGCCCTCGTACCCTCTTCCGTTAGTATGGCAGCTAGGCACCGAGATAGTTTTACAGCTGCGTGATTTTTTAATTTATTGTCGGAAAGTGTCCAGAAGCTTGTGAGTAGCGTGTAACGGCTTTCCTCTTAGGCTATCAGCATATTATAGCAAATATTTCTGCCAATCCAATCGAATTCTTGCATATAACGCTGATACATCTCCAAGAAAGGCGCCCTTATGTCATCCATTATTCTTACTCACCTGCTGCCTGACAGTCAGCACCATTTTGTAAAAAAAACGTCACTCTACCCTAGCAACTGAAACGAGAAAACCCAGACCGATCGCTTCCAGAGTAGACTGGAAGCAGTCGTTTCAGAACGGTTATTAACTCTAGGTGGTTGTTCTCCCGATTTGCTCTAGGAACTCAAATCAAGGTCGAGGAATTCATCCGAGGAAATAATCAACACGTGAACACGTGATGATCATTAGGTGATGAGTGTCCAAATGTGATACAGTCGGTCACTCAAGGTTGGCTTGAGTGTCGCCACTCCCAAAATGGATTCCAATTTCATCGGTGATAAACTAAGTATTCGGTTCCGTGGCGTGGTAATCACCGTATAGTTGTACGACAAAAGGGTTCTCTCGAACACTTTATTTATACAGTAGGCTGTAATTTGAGGAGTCTTATATCACTTCTACAAAGCAACCGCCTTCAGATAAACTGCAATGGTGATCGATGGTCAGGAGGCGACTATTGTAGCCAAAATTCTTCACCACGACCAGGTCGCACCATAGTGCGCAGCACTGAAGAGCTGTTGGTTCTATCATATATCGTGAGACTTTTTAAGCTGGTATGAACCCTGCCTTCAGTAAATGTAAATCAATAGTTTCTTTGCACATCCGTCTTTTAGACCATTCGGCTTAATTCACGGCGTAAAAATTAGTTCAGAAATACACTACTAATCACAGCATAGTAGCATAAAAATTCGAAACCCGTTGTGGGCACCGAATACGGTGCATCATCCGGCTGCAATGCGTTTGAGTTTAACATCGGCCTCATAATAATGAGTTCTATACAGATTACGTGAACTGTCACCCAGTGTGTGGCTGATCGTGGACAATGAGTCCAATTTTTAAATGCAACAGTAAAACTTCCCATTGATTTTCAACGTCCCACCGTCGACTTGGTCATGTTTCCAGGCTTTTAGGTACGGGTTGTCTCCTGATTCCAGTCCATCAATCGCCTCACTCATGCAACGATACTTAGATAAGTTAGCCTACTGAGCAGCTTGGCGAGTCAGTCCGAATATGGAAATATCACACCGAACAACCGAGTTTACCGTTTTGCTGTGCTTCATCAAACTTATGGGTAGTATGTTCTATCACAAATATATGCTGTGATATTTCGAATATTGAACCAAATAAAACATGAAGTGGCCTTTGTGCAATACATGCGGTTGAATGGTGTCACAAATTGGGAAATTACGTTGGATAAATTCGGTATGCGAATTTCGTAAAATTTGGGTGCAATTAGCAAATAAGGTCGACGGAAATTCGGGGACTGTGACTTACTGATGAGCCCGAGTGTAAACGAGACCGGTCAAGGACTGTCTTTAAAGAACTCGCGTGATAGTCCGTTGGATTCGCATCCCATCCCGTCACCAACTTATTGTGGATCACAGTTTTCCTAATACCGAGAATCCGAATTTGGATAGCTGCTTGATGGTCAGACGCGCTTAGCCAAGCCAGAAAGCCAATGAAAGTGTGAACCAGCTGATCTATTGACTCGTACAGGCATGCCATTTTCAGCCGAAAACGGGCTGTTCATAAAGCTCATGTAAAAAGTTCCAGGCGAGCCAAAAAGTGACACGAAAAACAGAACTTCTCCGTCAAGGGCAAGTGAAAAACAGTTGATAGAAACCTAAGTAGGGACAGATTTGAACCGGCGATTTCGTAAGGGTCCTAGATTTCACAGCAAACTTGTGTCAACATTCAAGACAATTCATAGTCCACCGGCACACTTTGCAACTCCTCTGTGATCACGATGATGAAAAACAACAGAAAGTTCAATCATGGGAACAGCTGTGATTTGGATGGAGTTGGTTAGGGTATCATCCTAAATTATGGCAGGTGCTTTTTTAAGCGGTATTGTTTGCAGGCTAAACAAACCACCGTAAAATAAGGGACAATTCATTGGACACTAAAACTTACATTCTACTTAAGCTGATGGATGTTACTTCAGTGGTATAGCACAAACTCAACTAACTGGATTTCGCATAAACCACTTCCCAAACAAATTGAGTGTAATTTCCTTCAGGAAATAGAGTGTTTGCCTTTCACAGTGGTAGGTGAATAGAAATTCGTCAAAGATTCTGTGGAACATCGCAAAATGAAACCTAATCACCAGCGTGAATGAGGCGATTAAAATTCACGTTCACCTTAGCTTGGACTTCACACGAAGAAGCAACTTAAAAGGTGCTCTCTAAAGTATCGTTATTGGTAAAAAAAATCTCATGTCTGCCTAGGTCAAACCATCTTTCACTTCATTAGTAAATACATGTATGACGTCTTGGGGAATCAGCGTTTCCCTTCACTCCCACTCACCATCCGTCCTATCCTCTCTTTGCTGCGCACTCTCTCCTGAGACCTTCCTTTGAGTGACTAGGCTTATTTATGTTCGGATAGCTTGTTCCTGAGACAGAACTGAATTGAACTTCAGGAATGTCTGAAAAGTACACTGACCAGACACGACGATCGGCTGCCAGTGAATGTCGGGTCTAGTTTCGGACCCTGTGCACCACAAAGACGGTGAGCTGTTTCATAAACTGCATGACGGTGTTGGGCCGGGTTTCAAGTTGCTCTCGAAAGCTCCATCTCCATCCTTTGATTTGGTGACTTCAGAGTGGTTTCTGAGCAAATGTTGTCTCTAAACCACTGCAGATACCATCTTGGAGGGAGCTGAGATAGGTTTGATAAACCATGATAACTTTTTCTGGTCCCATTATTTGACACCTTTAGGTAGCGAACTAGCACTGTAAGCCGGAGAAGTCAGCGGCTAGAAACCTCCAGCATTCGAATACTCTCTACTTTTGGAGGTCACAGTTCTTAGCCAGAACCCATGACTGTGCACAAACTACTTCCAGTTCCTTTCCACAAGAGAAGTTTACCGGTATGCAGGTTTACCGAGCACGGTCTACCCACCGCTCAATCTCAACTTTAGCAGAATGGTGGAGTGATCGTTTTGAAGCAAGCAATCTGCTGGATCATCGTGCTCCTTACGTTATGAGGCTGGACAGACACTTCAATAATTATGGAGAAGACTCGTCAATTCACTGAGAGACTTGCGTTTCTGCTTTCAGGAAGAAAATCAATATATCTTGTACGATAAAGTCCTGCGATAAACTTGTCATTCTTCTAAACCTCATGACCTATTTCTAGAGGGCTGTACTTATCTCCGCGCTGTGGATAAAAACGGAATTATTGCATAATCGATGGCAAAGACAATTCCTTATAATCGATGCACTCTTTATCGACAAGGTCGACAATCTACCGGCTGGTCGCAGGCTTCATGAAATCGGAAATCGATCCCTTCGCGTCTTACAAATGCCATAGGTCAGAATTGCTAAACTTCCTCCTATGCATGCTTCCCAGGAAGACAATGTATCCCAGTCACACGTGAAAGACAAAATGTTTACCCAGCTGCAAACCCCCACTTTTACCACATTTGCCAGCATGGTTGCTTCGTTTTTTCCAGCTCCTAATCATCTTGTAACACTTATTATCACTACAAGAAATAACCACCACTCGTTCCCACACCCTTACACACAAACCCTCCCATCCTGATCATTTCGACCAATAAAAAAGCCAGATAGCCGCGGCTCGCCCCCTCATCTTACCTTTACTCCTGACCCTAATCCTAGACGTCTTTCATAGTCCGTTTGCTGGGTACCAACTGGAGGGGTCTTTCAGGACTGAAGCGTTTCAGTACTGTGTTGTGACTTTCTGAATGGTCGTGCAACTCTGTATCGGCTTCCTCATCTACCCACCATGGTCTATCAAAGGAGTGATAGCTTCAGACAACTCATTATGGAGACAAAGATTGTTACAGGTCTATTTAAAGGATAATTACAGAACGCTCCACAAGGTCGTGCCAGAATCTCCCTGGGCGGGGCGAGAAGCGTCAAGCTAAAGATGCTCGATTCAGATTGGCTGGTATTTTGACCAATCAGGACATGCCTTCGTTTGGCTCTTAGCCCACACGTGACACATCCGTCTAATCGACGTGCCGTTCGGTTATTAGGGTTACTGGCCTCCGGACATACTGGATGACTCCAGAGGTGCACACGAAGAAGGTTGATCTTCATCGTCCTTAAGTCAACTCCAAAGGATGTCTGTGCATAATTATTCCACATACTACACTTTCATTCAGCCCAGCTTCACTTAATCGCCCTGGTCGCCGGGTTCGACAGCGAGTAAACCAAAGAACACCGATTGTAATAATGATGAGCTCGAGACTGATTTGTGGTTGAGGCACGACCTTACTAATAGGAAGCTTCATAGTTCGAACCCAACGCCGGCAACCAAACTACTCCTGTCTGGGCTTGAGTAAATGGACCTCATCTCAGCCCTGTTGCTTCCTTCGGATGGCACAGCAGCTAGGCACCGAAAAGGTGTTACAACTGGATTATATTTATCATAATTAGTTCATTCATTTGACTGCCCCGTGTAGAACTGTCAGGCAATTGACGGGCGAATATTGGAGCGCCATGTTGACTGCAGACAATTTCGCCTATAATGAATTTTCCGCGAAAAGCAACTTCATCATCTAAATTTGCATCGGCTGTTTTCAGGATTTCAACCTGAACGTCTCGTGAATGGTAAGACACAAAACAACGACACAAAACAGGTGTAAACTTGTTCTTCGTTGACACGACAGCTAAGTCCCGAAGGAGTGTCACAGATTATTGGTATTACCGATTATGAACCCGTTGATTTGAACCCCCCAGGAGAAACTCAGCTTGGTTCCAGGTGAATCTCCAGAATAACCAGATTTATTGGCAAAAGATTGTATTTCACTAACTTCTTGCAGTTTGGGTTCAAGTAGAACACAGGGTTTTTCGGAAACTCGGGAACTCCGCCCACCTGATACGCCCCAAGAAGGGCGAACTGGTCGTGGGTTGTCGAGGAATTTTCAGCAACCCTGTGAAAGTTGAAGCGTAGGTCCCGGAGAGATGCCAGGCTCAAACGGGTTTTGGACCAGATACAAAGGAATCTAGCGTGAAAATCGTGGGCAACTTTTTGCCCACATCATATCACCGCCTGCTGGGAGAATCTGGGATACCTAGTGGTGGGAACACAAGTGCGACTTTGGGTGCACCTCGACCCATTCCCACACATTTCAATGACTAGCTCAGACCGCGAGTTTTGTGCACCTATCTGAACCAAGCACCGGACCACGCATCCACCGGTCGGCTGGTCTACGCACCAGTTTTGCCATTAAAACAACAGGCATCGGTCGGCGTGTGTTACAAAAGATTTATAGGCCCACCGCATCGGCCGCACAAAGTGGAGGAACACAAGCTGACGTCCGTCAGTCGCACCACTCTAGGTGCATCGTTCCGATGCGTTCGTGGCTAGTTTCCACTCCAGTCATAAAACCCTATCATCTGCCTACCACCGGTGTGCTGTCAACCGGTCTATAGTTTGTGTGCACTAGTTTTCCAACTAGTCTGCTCGTGTGTGCCATCCTGCGAGTTTTATGGTCTCCACAATCCGTTCGTACCATGTGGGGTGGAGCAGAATCTCTCTCTCTCTCTCTGTCGCTCTCAGGCCGCACTACCCCGTATTGTCTAGTCTATACTTAGTCGGTCATTTAAGTTATGAGTTTCGCGTCTGACCCTGATGCGGAGGCAGTAAACACAGCTCCACAACCACCACCTCATAGGTAATGATGGTAATAAATTGGGATTATTTTCACCGATTTAGGTAAGTCGGACGTGACCGCTTTTTCAGCGGTCAGACGATCGATCATTCCAGGGGGGGCTAAGCCCGCTGGTCGTAAATTCAGTTTAGTGGATTATTTGGTTGCCAATACTCGTGAACCTGTTCCAGGGAATCTGTAAACAAGTCAACCAAATTTGTACCGTTTGACTACTAAAACTTTGTTCATACTGTTGAACTGAGAAGTGTCATAGGTTGGAGATCATTTGGACCCAGGAGTGGTATTGCTTTCGGATTATTTTTCCACCACTGACGGTGATAAAACACCCAGCCTTCGCTGTTTGGTTAGGTGGCTGTTGATCTGTTTGGTCGATCTTGACAATCGAACTGCATACATTTTGTCACCATTCGAGGAAATGCCGTTAGTGGAATAAGGATGATCATCTGCAAGTCGGTTGCCAAGCTCGGTGAACAGATTAACTGCCAATGTTTGGTCTGTTCTTCGTAGAAAACCACTGTTTCCAAATGGACATTCCGACTAGTTACCGATTTTTGATCCTTTTCGTACCGACTACGGTCGGTCAGCTGCCGTGCCACATGAGGGAAGCACGAGGGATGGGACATTGCCAGGTTGCCCAAGCATAGACAGGGGAAGTAGGGAGGCGGAGGTCGGATTCGAACCACAGTCCTTCCGGTCACCAAATTCACGCACTAACCACTGAGCCATCTTGCCCCCCTGTACCAAATGAGGTATTCTTCTGTTTGATATGACAAAAGATTTCTTTAAAAGTGCTACAGTTTCTCCTGGTTTTCCCCGAAATCTGACCAAGGAAGTAGCTTGTTCCGAACACGTGACTAGTTGAGATAGTTCACTGGTTATGGAGCCAGCTCAGGGACCAGAAAGTCGATTATTCGAACCCAACTCCAGCATCTCAACTCCTCCTGACTAGGCTTTGGCAACTTCGCAGTATCTCAGCCCCCGTTCCTCCTTCCGTCGGCGTGACAGTTATCTACCGAAAAGTGCTACAGGTGAGCGGTTTCATTTTTTTCACCCGAAATGTATTCATCATTTTGGAAAGACATGCATGGGGAGGCGAAATCTCCAACATTGTCCAGAACACTGTGGATTACAGACAGCTTCCATGCCAGCAGAAGTTTTGCTTTTTGCCTATTCTTAGGGTATTACGCACTCTTCTGATTACGGAAGTGTTAATCCTAATGTAAGCATTAAATTTGTGCAGGTAACACCGAAATAGCAGACACAGCACCGCAGAGGAAGAGGAACCAAGAATGGGACTAAAAGTTGACAAGACCTGATTTGAAGCAAAATCTACATCAATGAAGGAGCATGGGAAGGAAAATGGTGTTTAATGTCTCAGATTTCTTGGATAAACTAGAACAGTTTCCATCGACGTCGGGACTTCACCCGAAATGAAGCCGGTGCATATGATCCCAGGACTGATGACACATCGGAAAAGAAGCTGACAGTGAACTGTTTTTGTTTTATGTCGCAATCTCCCCTCAGTTAGTAAAAGTTTGAATAGGTTATTCAGCAACCTTATAAGTAGGGCATTACGAATATACATGTATCGCGATATTTCAAATATCGTACCAACTGAAACACGAGGCGGCCTGGTGTAGCACATTCAGTTGCCTGGAAGCATCATAAACGAGAGATTCAGCTGGGTTCCAGGAGAGCCTCTCGCAAAATCAAATTTGTTTGCAAATGAATGTATTTCGCTAATTTCGTGCAATTTGGTTTCAATTAGAACATAAGGTTGACGGAAACCCGGGGACTGCGCCTATCTGATGAGCCCCAAAAAGGGCGAAACCGGTCGCGGGCTGTCGACAGATTTTAGCAGACTTATGATTAGTGCATTACGAAGGTTGTTCGAATATTAGATGGAGTTAAAGCTGCAAGACCTCGGACGGTACAGCCTCTATACTATTATAGTAGGTGACCAAGAGATGCTTCCATAAATAGGGGCCTCATACACGCGCCAAATAAAAGACATTTTAAAGAATAGTTCCGTATATGGTTGTACACTCAACGATATCGTGAAAACACTTGAAACACCGCTAGCAAACCCTAATAGATCAAAGTTTGCGGGAGCATGACTTAAGCTGACCAGCTGGATCTAATCAATAACTCGAGACCATGTGATGAACTGAATGAAACGGTGGTACATCTACAAGCACTTTCCCTCCAAACGCAAATCATTGATGCGGTTCGCATTTGGAATTGTAGCTAACTGAATGAAACGGTGGTACATCTACAAGTACTTTTCCTCCAAACGCAAAAATTAACGCGAGAATGTACATCGTTTTTGTATACGTAGCAGTGATTTCGCCACACCACCAAGGCATGTCATAGAAGCCATGTCATAGAAACCTGCCGGGACAGTGATGATCACTTGGTGCGAACCCCAGACACGCAGAAGAAATACAATTGAGGAAAATGCGACCCAATGCTAGCGTGGGAGAGAGCCGACAGTTTGTTACTGTTTGCGGGTGTACAATTTACCACGGTTACCATGGCTCACACCTTTGCGTTCGCGATTAGAAAAAGGCCCAACCTTATCCATGTTCATTTTGAACTATACTTGTTTAGGGACTCTAAACAGTCAGAGACAAATCATGTGAAAGCTTATGGTGTTAGCTTGTGAATGTGAACATCAAAAACTTCAGCGATATTTTGGTGTTCAGTGTATGTTGCTGTTTATGATGATGATGATGATGTAAGGATTTTCCAGTTGCCGATATTTTTACAAAGAGTAAGCTATTGATTTTGATTTACTTGACAATGATAACACCAAGAGATGTTTATCAGTTTGCCTCGCAATAAATTCTGACAAATTGTCAATCGAGCAGCTAATCGATGCCAGACCACGTGATGTGGTTTTCGCCACTGAAGCATGAGTGTCATGATAAGCTAAGTGAGAGTTAATCACACTGCTGATCAGCCACTGGTGGGAAAACGGTCGAATGTTCGACCGCTGGCCGGAAGGTCACGAGTTCGTGAGATGCGCATTGCTGATAATTCCTGTACAGCGCTTCTCGGCTTTCCAGCATAGATTGGATTCACTGACAGGATGAGACCTTTATTGAATTCAACGACATCCCACACTCGAACTGACCTTAGTTCCACTAAAGTGGGATCACTTCTTTGGACTGTCCAACGTATTGCTCACCGGATTATCGAAAGTGAATCTACCTCCCAGGATTATCTCCCACCCAACGCCAAGTTTTAAAGGCTGCGTGCGGTCTTTTTGTGACAGGAGTCATGAATCACAGAGGCAAGACGTTAACAGCTTCTGCCCCCTCAAAATCCTGAATGACCTGCCTGATAACGATCACCGATTAAAACATGAATATAATTTCTGATAGGTTTTACAGCACTTCTGTGTGATTTTCGGTGATCTTCTGACTAATTTGAGCTTTGGAGAGAGACACTCCGGATAGACTGTATATCTGCTTTTCCTGAGGTACTCCCGTCTGAAGTGGGCTCATGAAAATTTTTCATGCAGCAATTGCATGAACAACTTAGAAGGGAAAAACGTCAATCTCGTATTGCTGACAAATAAAACTGGACGTTAATTCTAGACAATGCCGTTGTTTCTATTTAGATGTGTGCTGTCAGTCACCAACAAGCTGCGAGACTAAACATTAGTTGCATCTGCTATTCTGTGAACTTTTAGAAAAATGCGTGTTTGCACTCCCGAGTCGTAGATTGTCGGGGGACCTCACTCAATACAGTGATAACCACTGTCAGAAAGGTCAAATTCCTGAAGATTATTCCATATCACCCGAAACCCACTGAGACCCTCAAACTCCATGAAACGCCGATCAGGCAGCCTTGGATCAAGGTCAAACAGTACATTTAAAAATATAGTGCGAGGCCGTTGTACTTACACTCTCTCGCTTGTTTGCAACAAATCTGTAGTGTCGGTGAGTCTCTTTGCGGCAGTATGCACTGGAGTGGCGATAACATTCTGATATCGATCGATCATGTTCCTTTGCTTCTGTCCAAGGTTATCAGTCGTTAACGTGCCATGTCAGCGTAATCCTGACAGACTGCTTACGGAGTGGTGAGGAACATGGTAGCACGTGTCCATCTGCATTCAATTAGACCCACGTCACTGGCCGGTTTATCCATTTTCCCGCAAAACCTAGTGCAACATCATCAAATGTCCCCTGGCTAATTCTCGCTCTCAACGCCGGTCCACAGACTGCTAACACCCGAAGGAACGGAAGAAACGATTCAAGAGGGAACAAAGCTCTTTTAGAAAGGTGAATGGTAGATGAACTCATTTCACATTGGTTCGCCCTTATCATACTACTGTCAACAAGGAAAGCAAAAATCTAACATGCATCGCGTTAGAAAAAAGAGCGAAACAATTGGTCTCATGGCTGACAGCTTCGGAATCAATAATATCAATACGAACAACACAGACAAGAGTGAGCGGCATGTATCCCAACAGTGGAATACGAGAGTCTCTCATATCATCCAGAGCGAAATTACCAGAAAGTCTGAATTTCACACATCAGTAGCTTGTGTAGACGCTTGCCAGACTCCGGGTCTATATTGTAACTGAATTACAAAGTAAACGAAATGAATTTCAAATGCGGCAGGGATTTTCAGACAGGATATCTCAAGCCTTTACAGGGGGAACGAAACCGCAGTGACGTTTCTCAGGACGCGCCCAGACATGGAAACACTACATGTGCAGAAAGTGACGCATTCCCAAGGTCGCCATCGGTACGACACGTTCGGAAGGCAGGTACGTTGGCGGAGCTCACCAAACACGGCTTAGCAACATACGACCAGCGGAGTGAGTCTGAAAGTTTTCACGACCGGAACACCGCCATTGGCTGTACAGAACGAACAAGTGAACAACCATATTTGGCCATTTGGTCATCCTATGTATTTACGCAGAAGCCCAGTATGTTTTGTCCTGACAATACAGCCGTGTCCTGAGTTCTCTGTCTTCTTATCGAGTAGTCTGGCTGGCTCAGTGCAGGCGTAAGCAATAGACGTTCGTCCACGATAGAACACAAACATACGAGTATCAAGACTACGGAACAAACAATGTCCTAACACATTCGACAGAAAGCCCGAACTATTCCACGGGGCGTGTCTCAGTTAGACAATTGTAGCTGTTTTGTGTCAGAAGTTGCGGGCAATCCAAATTTCATTTCAACTGGTTAAGTAAAGCACCTTCATCGTTGTCATGGCCTTCCTAATTAGGACATTGAGGGCAGGCAATGACTGCGACCAATCAAGCGCAAGGACGATCGGTGGGCTGGCAGAGGTTTTGCGTCCGGCCCATCTTGCTTTGGCCCCGCATGATGATCGATCGATATGGCTGCTCGCTCGTCTGTCACTCACTCTATAGCCTACTGCAGTGAGTCACTGACACTGGGCCTGTTTCTTACACGTGTGACAAGGGCGTGAGATCTGAGGTGATCGCACGTGTGAACAACTTGTTGTGAAATGTCTAGAATCTGGATCAGCAGCTTGGGGACGCTAGTGGCCCAGGCGTCAGCGGATCGACGTAGCTGCTGACGTATGATCGGCGGTTCAGAAAGCTGAACTGCAGTGGCGTTATCCAACAGTGGATCCGTGTTCTTGAATAAAGAAGAAACGAACACGACAACCAATCGAACACCCTAGGTGAATTTGTCCTGGACTAAAAAAATATACGGTAATAGAATATGTTGGACGTGTTCAAACCGCTAACAGATTACGGTGTTTTGCCCACTGCGTTGCACAATGATATTGGACATTTCTTAAGACTGCCAGTGTGTAAATTATTGACACTCATCCAAGTACAGTATGGGGAGCGCCTTCCTGCTAATTTTTTGTGGAGTGTGGGAAAACCTATTGAATATCGCCGCTCCCAAAGCTTAGATACGTTGTCGACAGACAACCAGTGACAGCATCAGCCCTAAGGAGTCTATTGTATACCTTATCAAACATTTTGTTTATACTTATACACATGACTACCTTGATGGGAAAGACCAATGCGTGTTACGGAGGAAACGGATGGAATCGTCCTAAGAAAATTGCAGCACTAAGGTAAGCACGAATTGCCATTTTAGCATGAGTTTAGTGTTTGGAGCTGGATGCCAGAAAAAAGCCCCTAAATTCCAGATATCTTTACGTACCTAGTGTTCTTTCCATTTCAGCAGTTATTCCGTTTTCGCATTTTTGCAACATTCATTCAAAAATCCCTTAGTGTTATCAAAGCACTTCCCTGGATTTCCTCCAGAGTATCGGTACAATCGGGTCTGCGTTCTGTGTCCCAAAATCCGTATAGCATTTCCGGCTGAATGGATGCATGAAACGTTTGAAGTTAACCGACTCGTGTCCAATTTGTCCAAAGTCCTATTGTGTGAAACGTGATCATGCCAGAATGCCCATACGGGACAACGATGAGTGAGGAAGCTTTTCATCTCTGATGCTTTTTCTTGCGGAGACCTGAAAAATGGATGCTGTTGGTACATGCAGAATAACGGAGCAACGGTAATACTACTGATGGGGAAGGCATACGAGTAGCATGTTATCCCGTAAATCCGCTTTGCGTCGCTTGAAAAGTGAGATATATTACGGAATTTGTGGAGTCACTTTGTAGCTTTTGCTTGGATTTGAGCAACAATCAATGACTATCCATAAAAGTTCCGCAAGACGCGTTCACAGAGAGGATGGATATTAAGTTTTTGTAAACAAGATGCATATGAGAGTTTTGCTTCTCTGTTCAATACCCTGTAACTGTTCAGTTGGTGTTTTCTAGTAAGTAACTCCGCAACGGGGGCCTTCTTCCGTTTAGCGGTAGCGCGTTACCACACAGCGTGATTATGATGATTCGCTTCTCAGCATTCCTGAATACTTGCTCAGGAAACTTCGTTCGATTGATGTTTTAGTTCGAGCCCGGAGGGTTGTTCAGTAGTTTGAGAAACTCGACAAAATGGTGGACACAATTCACTCAACTGAACCTCTCGTTTATGATATTCTACAACTGAATGTGCTGCATCAAGGTCGCCTCATGTTTCAGTTGGCAC